ATTGCCCAATGTAGGAGTGTCAGGAATTTTTTTTTTTTTCCATATTTTTGTACTATCATTTTATTGCTTAATCTATCTATGGTGGGACCAACCTTTTAAAAAATAAGTCAACTATATTTAATATTTATAAAGTATTATATATTTAAAATATCAATAAATTAAATAACTTAAAAATTAAGTTAACTATATCTATGAAATATTATATATATATATATATATATATATTTAAAAATATCTATAAATTAAATAACGGTCCAACCGGTTCAACCACTGGTCGGACGAGTGAACCATTGAACCAGTAGCTTGACCGGTTGGATGACCGGTCCGGTTTTGACAACCTTGCTTCTAATAATAACAAAGATTCATCCTAAAAAATTTAAATCAATTGGACGTGCCATACAATTTTTCAAAGATTCATGGCACGAAAAGGAAATTTAGGTTCAAAGGGCTAGGGACAGAATTAAGACTTACAATTTTAATTGAAATGAACACATAATATCAAACTCCTAACCACATAATTTCAAATCAAATGGATGAGCCAATAATTAAATACAATTTCTCAAAGTTTTAAGGCATAAAGAGAAAGTTTCCGTTCAATAGGCTAGCAATCGAGTTAAGGGCTGAAATTTTAGTACAATATAATCATCATAACAGGAACGCACCCTCCAAATTTTAGATCAAAAGGACGAGAATATGATTTAATATGATTTTTCAAAGATTCTGATGACTCCAAATCTGAATTGGGGAATCAAAATCAGACTCATGACACACCAAGGGTTCCAAATCCATAAATTTCCACAAGAATTTCGAGATCTAATCATTCTTATAAATGATCCAAATTGATCTCAAAATAGACATAAAGATTCAATCCAACCTCGAGAGGGTCCATTCAAATCCATCAATAACACTCAAATGCAGAGGGTTCTCAACCATCTCTTACCGTGCACCAACGAATCTACGTGCTCTCTGAAAAATCGAAGGTGGCCTCGAGCGACAAGGCGCGGCCTCGACTCGTATGCTAGGCAAGGTCAATTATATTGAGACTGTGGCGCACGGGTGGACAGCCTAGTGGATCTCCGGCGTGTAAAGGGACGTCTCGCTGACCTTCCGGGGGTTCTCGACGTCTGTAGTGATGATGAAGACCAGATCAGTGGTGGACGGACCGAGGGAACTCGCGGTGGCAGGCGTGCGTGCAAGGAGAACTAGGGCCGGACGACTCTCGCTGGGTGGTTAACGCAGGCGGTAATGGGTGTGAGGGAGATGAAGAAGTTTAGGCGATGGACTTTTGGGACTTCTACTGGTTCTTCTTGCGTTTTTGGAGTGAGATGGGAAGATTAATTTCAGAAAAATATTACTAAGGGAGATAGAATGGTCTTGCGTGTGGTTTAAAGGGAAATATTGATTAATATTAATGAGGGGAAATGTTGGACCCCGACAGAAATTTGGTTACTGATCAAAAGGCCCTTTGTACTCTTGCTACGGAGTTCTTCAAAGGTATTTATACGGCTGGACCGCCGCCAGAGAGACAAGGGGGGACACCGAGTCTCTTCCCAGTGTGCAACATGGAAGCAGTTATGACTATGGAGAGCGACATCTCTAACGAGGAACTTTACGCAGCCCTCCACAACATGGGCTCTTTAAAAGCGCCCGGGCTGGATGGTTTAAATGCTTTGTTTTTAAAGAAGAACTGGGAGATTGTGGGTCCTTCAGTGCGAGCTTTTAATCGGATGCTTTGCTTTTCAAGAAGAACTGGGAGATTGTGGGTCCTTCAGTGCGAGCTTTTATTCGGATAATGTGGCGTGATGGTGTGGTCCCGAATGAAGTAAATCGGACTTTGATCACCCTTATCCCAAAAGTCGAGAATGCAAACACCATTAAGCAGTTCCGCCCAATAAACCTACTTAATGTCATATACAAGCTCTTTACCAAAATTTTGGTAAATCGGATGAAAAGTACTTTGCCGGAGTTGATCCACCCAGCACAAGTGAGCTTTGTTTCGGGGCATCACATTACGGATAATATCATCGTCGCCCAAGACCTCATTCACTCCATGCATTGTAAGAAAGGTGCGAAAGGATATATGGTCATTAAAGTTGATCTCGAGAAAGCCTATGACTACTTAAGATGGGACTTCATTGAAGAAACCATGCGCCTAGACGGATACCCCGAAAGATTAGTAACGGCCGTTATGGCTTGTATCAGCTCGGCTTCGATGAAGCTGCTGTGGAACGAGTCGTGTGGAGAAGAGTTTCATCCTACTAGAGGGGTCCGACAAGGAGATCCTATTTCCCCATACCTCTTTGTTCTATGCATGGAGAGATTGACGCAACTAATTGGAGTGGCCGTTGACTAGCGAAAGTGACGACCAATTTCTGTGGGAAGGGGGGCCGTTAAAGTTCCTTTCTAATGTTCGCGATGACCTCCTTCTATTTCTGGAGGCCACTGATGACCAGGTAGCTACCCTCAAACACGTGCTCGATCACTTCTGCTATTTCTCGGGCCTCAAAGTAAGTTCAAAAAAGACGCTCGATATCTTTTCAAATAATGTGAAGTCCAATGAGCGATCTCGATTGGCAGGCCAACTCAACTTTAAGGGAACGACGGACTTGGGTAAGTACCTTGGAGTGCCAGTTATCCATGGTCGGTTGACTAATAATACGTACATGCACCTCGTAGAAAAAACGGAAGCGAGATTATCCGGATTGCGGACGAAGTCGTTATCGATGGTGGGTGGAGTCACTCTCACCCAATCAGCCCTGAGTACACTACCATTTTATTCTATGCAATCTGCCATGCTACCGTGCTCCATCAAGGACGGCCTTGGGCGTAGAAGTCGGGCTTTCGTGTGGGGAGGCTCGGCTGATAAGAGAAAGGTTCACCTGATCTCTTGGAAAGAGGTGTGTAAACCCAAAGATGAAGGAGGTTTGGGCATAAAAAACTTACATTTCATGAATGAAGCATTCTTAATGAAACTGGGGTGGGGGATCTTATCGGGTAGAGAATCCCTGTGCGTACGTGTCCTAACGGCTAAATATGGCATTACCCCCTCGACTGGCTGTGATAGCTCCCGGTTCAGTAATGGCTCAGGCCTGGCATGTGCCCTTCGTAAACTGTGGCCGGAAATAACGAACGGTGTAAGATGGGCCTTGGGAAACAGTCAACCCGCTTCTGGATCGATAATTGGATGGGTACCGAAGGACCATTGCTCAGTTTCCTCGCACAACGAACGCCGGCCGCAACATGGACTCGAAGGTCGCGGACTACGTGGACAAGTTCGGTAGGTGGAAGTGGAATGAGTTTCACGGCCTTCTCCCCTCGTCGGTGATCTTGCGAATAGCTGGAATCCTCCCGCCGCAAGAAGACGCTGGCGACGATCGCATGGTTTGGCGACATTCCCATGACGAGAAATTCTCTACGCGTACTGCATATACAGCCCTTCTTCGGCCCCGCAAAGAGTGCGGACTTTTCTTTGGCTCGCCGCTAAAAGTCGTTTGTTGACCAATACGGAACAGGTGCGGCGCCATCTTGCCTCCGCGGAGGAGTGTGACGTCTGTGGAGAGGCTGAATCGGCGCTTCATGTCCTACGTGACTGTCGGGCTGCCAGGAAATTTTGGTCCCCATTGATCCCGCTGGATGAGGTTAGCAAATTTTTTTCATTACCTATTAAAGCGTGGTTGAGAAAAAATCTGTTAATGGCACAATGGGGAACTACTCTCGAGTGGGGCTGCATGTTCGCCATTGCGGTGTGGAGATTATGGTCGTGGCGGAATGATAGAATATTTAACCAACACTCTCTGAGTAATGAAGCGAGACTGGAGGAAGTCGTCCGAATGAAGGAAACGTATAGTCGGGCGGTTGAAGCCCACGCCCGTGTTGGGGTTAATACATATATTACCCGCTTCATCCATTGGTCCCCGCTGGGCATAGGATGGGTCCAGGTTAATTCGGATGGTGCCTTCGACAACTCTACTGGCCTGAGTAGTGCCGGAGGCTTGATTAGAGACGAGTGTGGAACATGGGTAAATGGCTTTTTTATGAATATTGGCTTTTATACTATTACAGGCGCCGAGCTTTGGGGACTCTTGCAAGGGCTGCTTTTGGCATGGGAGTTGGGATACAGGCGAGTTATTGCGGAGGTGGATAGCCAGTATGTGAAAAAAATGGTTAATGGTTCAGAGGATAGTTTTGGGACACATACAACACTGGTCAAGGCCATTCGTGACCTTTTAGCTCGATAATGGAACATTAAGTTACAATACATTCATCGGGAAGCCAACTTTGCGGCAGACCACATGGCTAGCCTAGTGGCCTTCTCTCCAGTCGGACTACATTGGATTTTGTCCCCCCCTACGGGGGTGTGAGCATGGCTTCAGCATGACCTTATTGGGGTTTCTTACCCCCGTCGTNTTAAATATCCACACTTAGCAAAATAAAGAAGAAAATTCTAAACCATACAAGGAGGTTTGAACTAAGTTGGGCCGAGTCATAAGCATCATGAGGGCCGAAATAGAAAGGAGATTGGGCCGGGAAGAAGACTTCGAGAAATTAAGAAAAGGATCGAAAAATAACAATACGCGATTAATCGAAAAATTTTCGAACGATCGACGAACGAATAAAATAAAATCAAGCAAGCATACAAGTATATTAATCATGTATAATAATAATAATAATAATAATAATAATAATAATAATAATAATAATGATAAAGAGCAAGCATTAAAATAAATAGGGAATAGCAAATAAAATAAAAAGACGATAAATAGAATAAATACGAGAAATTCTATAAATCGAACGGAACACTACATGATGCATGTCAATATTCTGCGCCAAAGTGTAGAAATAGTGATGGTGTTGCAATTTAGTAAAATATTGTGATATAACGAGCAATTTTACTTATTTAATAAGAGTAAGCTTCTCATTTTGTTCTCAAATTTTTCATATTTGATATTTCATTCTTTATTACAGTGTTCATTATTATTTTTTGTATTCAAAAGTGACAAAAAACAAAAAAAAAAGCCACTGTACAATTAACCCACCATCTATCTTCACACGTATGATTTTAGCATTCCCACGACAACTCATCACATCACACCACACACACACACGCACACACAGATTACCGTCTTTTCCTCTTCCATATATAAATGCAGCCTCAAGGCTGAAACAGTGGAGGCTCAGTTTTCCATTTTCTCATAGAGCGACTAATACTCCATAATGGGCGAGGTAAAGAGCTCAAATATTCTCTGCTTTTATAACCTCTCTTTGATTTTTCGTTTCAGTTCCCGATTTTTGCCTTCTCTGTTTTTTTCGTTCTTTATTTATTTTTGTTTCATTTTGGTTGCTACTCCAGAAAAACAAGAACAACGAAGGAGGGCAAAAGGAAGGAGACAACAAGAAGAAAAACAATGTCACCGTCGTTTTGAAAGCCGACCTGCACTGCGAAGGCTGCACATCCAAAGTCGTCAAGCGCATCCGCTCTTTTGATGGTAAAAATAAATTAACACTCTTTTATTTTACTCGAAAAAGAAAAATCAAACAGATTTTGTCGCGTTTATGCTTTCCTATTTCAAGCTTCCACGGTCGTCTGTTTTTTCCATTCCTTTTTGGCATATGAAAAATGATGTTTGCTCCCAGCTTTGGTGTTCTGAAATGGATTTTTTTGTGTGTTTGTGAAAGGCGTCGACACAGTAACGGCCGGCGACGGCCAGAAGATAACGGTGGTGGGGAGCCTGGATCCGGCCAAGCTCCGGGAGAAGGTGGAGAAGAAAACCCGCAAGAAGGTGGAGCTCATTTCGCCCCAGGCCAAAAAAGGGGACGGCGATGACAAAGGCAAAGAGGATGAAAATGGGAAAAAGGATAAGAAGAGTGAATCCAAGGAGAAGAAAGGCTCAGATGACAAATCTGATCAGAAAAAATCAAAGGATAAAGAGGTATCCAAGTTAAATTTTAGGAGTTCCATTTTTGAGTTTTCTGTTCTCCATGGATGATTTTTTTCTTCTTTTTTTTTTGTTGGTTTTATCTGATTTATTCATTCATTTTTACCTGTGAACGCGGAATTTTCATGTGGCGGCCGAGGCGTACGTTAGCACCCTTCAGGCAGCTTTTTATTGTTTTACTGTTTTTGGCGACCTTTCACGTCCCAACTTTCTCATCCTTTTCCAATTAATGATAATGATGATTCTTACTGTTAATCATCACTGATGAGCTGAACAAGGGGCATTTTAGCATATAATATCTCCTCACTAATTTCTGAATCATCATCCCGATTTTGCATTTAACCCCAGATATTCTGAATATGAATGAAGCTCATTTATGAGTTGTTTACAGACAGCAGTTACGACGGCTGTGTTTAAGGTGAATTTGCACTGCGAAGGATGCATCGACAAGATTTACAGAACCGTCTCCAAAACTAAAGGTGAGATTAGTTTATCAACACAACCCCTATAATTAACAGCTCGTTAGTTTCAGCACCAGCCAAATTGCAAAAAGGGGTCCTATTATACTTTTAATTTTCATTCAGCCCCATGTTCTTTTGTAAATTAGCTGCAGTGGCCCGAGTAATTGGGGAAATCATGAAAATCTCTAGAAGTATGTTGTTGCCCAATTGAAGATTTACCTCTATTCAGGAGTAAATTCGCGAATTGGTGAAATTCAAAGGGCTAAATTCCGTCTTTCCCATTTGACATCGTTTTTGTGCTTGCAGGTTACGAGGACATGAAGATTGACGGCCAGAAGGACCTGGTGACGGTGACCGGCGCGATTGACATGAAGGCTCTGGCCGAGGCGCTCTCGGAGAAGCTGAAAAAGAACGTCTCGATTGTGCCGCCCAAGAAGGACGGAGAGAAGAAGGAGAACGGCGGCGACGACAAGGGGAAAGACGGCGGCGATAAGGCGGAGGGGAACAAGATGCAGACGCTGCTGGGCGGGTACCCGTACCCGTTTATGCCGGGTCCGGTGGTTATCGGGGAGCAGCTTCATTATAACCCGTACCCGGCTTACCAGTACTATGCGCCCGGGATTTTCAGCGACGAGAACCCGAACGCCTGCACCGTCATGTGAGGGTGGGGACAGCAAGGTGTAAATAACAAGTATTGGAAGGGCATTTGTGTCATTTTGAAGCCGTCCTTGGGTATCTTTTTCTCTGGTCAATTTTAATAGGCCTTACTTTCGTTTTTGTCGTCGATTTTTGAATCCTTATCGAACTTAGAGAATGGATGTGGCATTTTAATGGTTGCAATGAAATTATATAGTTGGCTTATCTTTGGACTTCAGTTCAGCTTCATTGGATTTTTTTTTTTAAATTTATTTTCATATATTCTTTGAAGAATATGATTATGTCAATATATATTTGATAGTATTGTCATTTTTAAAGAATTGATGCCGCATATGGGCCGTTGAGTATTATAGTAGAATCAGCATAAATGTATTGAAGTTTGTTAATGAAATAATTAATACAAAGAATATTGTTGGGGATATCTAATAGTTAGGTTAGGCGGTTTTATTTTATTTTAACAATTATATATAAGTGATTAATTTGAAAACTAATTGATATGTTTTTCAATATGATTATAATTTTTTATTTAAAAAGTACGACGAGTTGAAAATTCTAAATTCTCTCTGCCCTAAATTCCCCCGCCTCCCACTAACAACAAACACTCAGCCCCAATTACCACCCCCTTCTTCGGTCGTTTTCTTGAGGCAGAGTCATGCCGCCTTCCCAGCACCGCGACTCACGGCGCCTTGCGCAGTCTGAGGTCGCAGTCTCTGGTCGTGGTCGTGAGCGGGAAAGGGTTCGTGGCGCCTCGCGCCGTGTAGCCCTCTCTCCAGTCGGGTTTTGAGCCGCTGTTCGTCCTGCAACCCTCTGCCTCGTGTGGGTCATTTTTTGGTGGCTTGGACGTTGCTCCGTCGTCTTTTCCAGCCTCCCAGCTGTCTTCGCTGCCTGGTTGAGTCCCCTCCGGTTTCGTGCGTTTGATCCTCAGGCATGCTTTCGGAGCCAATCATTTCGAACCCTAGACTTCGAGTTTTTTCAGATTTAGGCTAAGGCTTGTCTTCCTGTCGGTTCTACCTAGCCACTTTCGTGGAGTTTTTAGTTTTGGGGTCCGTCTTTGTTGCGCTTAAGGTCCTTTCGTGTGTTTGTTGTGAGTGGATTCTGGCTTATGTGCTCGTCCGGGGTGCTGTTGTGGGTTACTTTTGTTAGTTGGGGAGATAGTAGTTTACAACTAGATTATGAGTGTGTTCAGTTATTTAGTGTGTTATTATCCACTTGTTGGAGTATTATTATACACTTGTTGGAATAGTTGTCTCCCCTTTTGAGGAGTTTTTAGTTTGTGTGTGGGATTAGACGTCCAGCTCCGGGTTCATGGTTGCTTGCCACTGTCGAATTTTTTGACTCCTCTTCCTTGGTTTTGATTTAGGACACTACTCTTAGTGCTCCTCCGAGATTCTACCGTTTGGTAGTTCTGTTTGGCTATTTAGTCTTTGGGCTATAATTTGTAATATCTCTTTTGAAAAATAATATCTATCGTTTCGAAAAAAAAGTATGCCGAGTTGACTTACAAAATATTATTTTGATTTATGCACTAATTGGTGTAATATTGTTAGAAAACATATTTATGTCCTAAACTTCACTTAATCTCATTTCTTGCACCAACCAACTACTCCCAAAAGCTGAGCTTGTTTCGCAGGATTCATGATTTAGTAATTCTTGTTATATATACTTATTCACATGTAGGCTACAACTCAACTAAAGTACCCTCTTAAACCTTTAGCACAAAATATCCTCATTGGATTTTGAGCATTATTTAAATGTCGGCCTCATTGTGCCTTTGACATTAACAACCATAATAATAAACATTACAAAGTGATTCGAATGTAATTTTCATTGCATATTTGCTAAGCAACAAAAATACAAATCTGTGTGTGACAGTATGAGAGACATAGGTGGGACTTGAGAGTTATTTACCTGAACAAGAATTTTTTTTTCTTCGGTGTATAAAATAATTTTTTCCTTGTTTCTGGTTTGGGGCCCACTGTGGCTACCGTACGGCCCACCATATTTTCCCACCTAACTTCTTTATGGTCCTTTTTGCAGTGCCATAGTGCCACTCTAATAAGCTGCACCACTGTTATTTCAGGTTCCTTTTTCACACGCTTTTTCCATTTACCTTATGTGTTTTATGGCTTTAACTTTATGAGTTATGAGATACAAGACAGTCAAAACTCCAATGATCATTTACCAGTCCATCTTAACACATACAAACACACATAATAAGAAAAACTAAAGATCCACCATATACATATATATATATATATTCGGAATAAACCATTATGAAATTCGAATTTCATTTCAAGACATATCATGTTAAATAATCAAGAATTACATAGAAAAATGAAATCAAATATCAGTCAAAGGTATTTCTCATTATATAATCAAGAATCATAGATAAAAATAAAATCAAATATATATAAGTCGAAGATGTTTCACATATTAATTATCAATGAGAAACGAAACATAAACAAACATAAATCGGATCAGTTTCAAATTAAAATGTCGAGAGACTAATTTCAATATAAGTATTTTATAACAATGAAAAGTAAAAAATGTTTCAGTAAACTATGATATTCCTTTTGTAAACGGTCACTTTATTAAATGATTTATAATTATTTAGGTCAATAGACCATTCCAATGCTACAGCACATGAGCAAACTATTAATCCGGGTGTCGCATTCCAATGCTTATGTAAATTACTAACTGGAGTCGAGTACAGTTGTATAATAGCTTAGCACAAGTGAGTTATTATAAATTTGTAATTATGTTGGAATAATTCAATGTGGTAGTAATGTGAAAAATATTAATTTCGTGAAGTGTGAAAGTTGAAATTATTTGGAAATCATATTGACCTAATTTACTATATCTATATTTATGCCAAATTGGGGTCACGTAAAGTTTTTCAATTTGTCCAGTCACTTTTCACATAAAAATGGTGGGACCTCTAGATGACTGTGGAGTTTAGAGCATTGATGATGATTGGCCAAAATTGATTACTCTGTGTAGTGTGCACATGAATAGAACAAAAATGTATCTCCAAACATGCATATATAGTTACGTAGAACGTGAAACCAAAACAGGGAAGATCGAGATACTCTCTCGTGAAATAGAACCAGACAATTTCATAAACTTCAATAATCGACTTCTAAAGTCTTACACCAGATAATAAATATAAAAGAGAGTCCACACTTGCCAAACAACTACAAGGACATTATTTACTTACTTAGTCTATAATAATAAATAAGGAAACTGAATAATAAAATGAAAGAGAAAATAGAAATAAATAAATGACTAAATCCAGAATCGATCAAATTTATCCAAATATGCCAAGACAGCCTCGTCTTCATCATAGAGTACATTATGTTTTATCAGTCCTGCTATGGAGACAACGGTGGGCTCCGTAACGGAGCCAACTTCAATGAAAAACGTATTCTGAGAATACGTTTTTCAAATAATTATTTGAAAAACGTATTCTCAGAATACGTTTTTCATTGAAGTTGGCTCCGTTACGGAGCCCACCGTTGTCTCCATAGCATTTTCATATGTTTTATGTGAATTAATGTATGATGTATTGATGTACCTAGTCATACCATCCCTTGCTAATTTGCTATGCATGTACATGCCTTCATTTTTGGATTTTGTTTTCTTATCTATTATTGTTTTTACTATCATAGAAAAAGCTGAATAATGAGTAATTTCTTGTTCTGATTTTTACTTTTTAAGTGTATGAATAACGAGTTCTTTGAAGCATGTCGAATGAAGATAAGCTAATTAGATTGAGCTAGAAAATATGTCTTTTTAAGTGTATGAATAACGAGTCATACAAAATAAGTCCGTTCCTTTTATTTTCATAAAGATAATTCAATTCACATTATGAGTTTGTTAAAACAAAATGAAGAAACGTGATTAATGTTTGGTTAAATTTTCTCTAGGTAGTGATGATACATATGGGTGGATTTTAGTGTTTTTTTTTTTTCTTTTCTTTTCTAATAAGTATCTTTGAACAATAATTGCTTGGAGATTGTGTTTAGGGTAATATCAAAAAGTATTACTTGAAATTATTACTCCCTTTTATTTTTATTATATGTCATTCTAGCTTAATTGATCATTTACTAAATAAACGTCGTTTTCACTATTTTGTACATATTTTTCCATTATTACCCTCATCTAACTAATAAATACATTACGTATTTTCATATTCACTCTTCATATTTTCTCAAAACATCAATCTCTATTCTCATTAATGAAAGTTATTATTGACAAAAAAAATTATTCTTAATTACTGTGCAANAAAACAGGTGACATCATAACTATTAATCGAACACTGAAACTACGAAAATTATTTTAATATTTTTATTGGTTTCTAATGAACATTTCAAGGTTCATGGATTTCGAGCTTGGTGTTAAATCTCTTCAAAATTGTAGTGGCATATATAATGTCAATATGTGATAAGTGGGAAAGAGATGAGGAATATTTCACTTGCGTACCCGACGGGAAACTCGACTCGGCTAAGGCTAAGCGAAACTAACCAACCGCAAACACGACTATAGTACAAAGTATGGAGAAAGCGTGGTCGATGATGATAATTAATTAAATCAATTGGAAAATATAATATAGATGTGGTTGGATCCCAATTCCATCCTTATCCACTTGTAATTTGTGATGATTACGAGATTGAACACACAAGATACTTTTGTAGACTTTGGAATAGAGAGAAAAACCATCAATGTTTTATTTATTTATTTAATTTATTTACTTACTTTTAAATGAAAAAAGATTATGATGATATATGACCTGCAGTCCACTATGTCTAGTAGTAGAATGTAAACAAATTGTGGAGACTTATTTCTTACTGTGAAAAGATTTATTTTCAGTGTATTCACTTGGTTAATGGTTTGTGTTAAGAAAAAATCACAAATTTCTTGTGTTAGGCGGTGTTAGGCGAGTCGATCTGTTATATATTTGTTAAAAAAAATATACATTTATGTTATAAAATATTATAATTTTTTTGATATTGTTTATAGAGTATGATATTCTAATTTGAAAACATACCCATAAATTCATGAGTAAATTCAGTTCATAATTTTTTTAATATTGTTTATAGAGTATGATATTTCAATTTGAATGTATACCCTTCAGTACAAATTGATAACTTTTGGTGCACTAAAATGTAACTTTGTTTCTATGAATTTGACAATTTTGGTACATCAATTGTAGTGACCCACAAAATAATATAGCGTTTTGAAAAAATGCAACTTAGGGGAAAAAAAATATTTAACCACTCATTTTATTCCATTCATGTCACATTTAATGCAGAAGTTTGTAGACAAGAAGTCCGTTAGACTTTTTTTACTTAACAGGATAACATGAGATAATATTCCTTAATCAACCTTATTCGGTGATTTTACTAGCAGTCTCATCCCTT